TCCTAACCTCTGTGTCACCTGCCAGCCTGTGTTTTGTAACTTTTAAGTCATTTTCAGCCAATTATTCTCGTTCTTCCCTGTTTATATTCATGAAAAGTGATAGGATTTGTTCATAGTTCTCTTCTTTCTTATTAGATAATCAATGTTTGGGAGCTAGCAGGTGGCATGGTGGTTAAGGTGCTGAATACTCCCACATGGCCAACCACTGTTTGAGTCCCAGGCCTGGTGGCTTGATTTCTCACTTTCCCTCTCTCTCTGTGTCTGTCTTTCTCTGGTCAAATTAAAAATAAATGAATGAATAAATAAAAATTAAAATAATTGTTTAAAGAAAAAAGGGGAAAAAAGCAATGTGTGTCCATAATGAAAAAAAATTACAGATGAGCAAAAGGAGAAAGGATGCATAACCACTGTTAGTTAACACATCTCCAAGCTCCTTCTCTAAGCCAGCATATAGTGAGTTCATACCATATTTACTTTTTGATCTACTTATACTTACATTAAGGAATCTAGTTCAGGGCTCAAGACCTCTGTCCGCCCACATCTGCCTATGCTGTGCCCAAAGGAAAAGGTTTTAGAAACAAGAATTGAGAGTGCTGTCTAAGGAGAGAAAAGACATCGTAGACTACCTTGGAAGAAGTGGCCACATTGACTCCAGGGGCTATGATGCCCTCACTGAACAATCATGTAAATAGCTGCTCCTGGACATCTGTGAATAATCTGGAACACTGTGATTTGTGCTTTTGGAGAGTCCTACAATGCCATGCTGGGTCCCTCAACAAGCGGTATTCAATTCATGACTCAGTAAAGCCCACAAAACTTGAACTTGAGCCATAAGCAGATTAGGAACAACCTTTGAAAGATTAAATGAGTTCAAATGCCAAACCACCTTCTTGAATGGCTGTTATCCTGAAATAATATGACAAGAATGTCCTTTTCTCCATGGAACATTCTAATTTGTCCCCATTAGTAACAATATGGGTAGCCAGCTGCTCCTGAGGAGTCTGGAGGAAGAACTGGACAAAGCTCAGTGAAGAACATCTAAATCAGCAGCTACTCAGCTCACAGGGCAACCCTATGAGTAGGGAGCAAATCAGCAGGCTTCTCCTAAGACCACTGTACCTGAGGGCCCTGTAGCCTAGAGAACACTGTTAGGGAAAAAAAAATGTGTCCCTTATACAATGAGTAGTGTCTTAGTACATTTTGAATTGCTATAACAGAATACATAAGGCTAGGTAATTCATGTAGAAATTTACTTCTTACAGTTCTGGAGGCTGAGAAGTCCAAGGGCATGGTAATAACATTTGCTCAGCCTCTGGTGAGGGTCTTTCTCATGTGTCATGAGAGATGGCTGAGCAAATGTGTATATCAGACACCAAGAGAGGGCTACTTTTATAACAACCCACTTGTGAGATAATTTATCAATCCATAAATCCATGAGTGGATTAATCCATTCATGAGGGTGGGCCCCTTTTGACATAATCATCTCTTATATGGTCCCACTTAATACTGGTACAATGGCAGTTAAGTTTCAAAAGTTTTGGTGGAAACATTCAACCACAGCAAGCGGTAAGCGTTCATTTTGGCTTGGGAAGAACCACATTATACTTCATGCCCCACAACCTAGCTACAAGGCCTTTTGGAGGAGAAGAGCTTGCTGGAAAGTTCTCCAAAAGTCAACTGGAGTATGGACTAGTAAAGAGCCTGTCCGCCCACATCTGCCTATGCTGTGCCCAAAGGAAAAGGTTTTAGAAACAAGAATTGAGAGTGCTGTCTAAGGAGAGAAAAGACATCGTAGACTACCTTGGAAGAAGTGGCCACATTGACTCCAGGGGCTATGATGCCCTCACTGAACAATCATGTAAATAGCTGCTCCTGGACATCTGTGAATAATCTGGAACACTGTGATTTGTGCTTTTGGAGAGTCCTACAATGCCATGCTGGGCCCCTCAACAAGCGGTATTCAATTCATGACTCAGTAAAGCCCACAAAACTTGAACTTGAGCCATAAGCAGATTAGGAACAACCTTTGAAAGATTAAATGAGTTCAAATGCCAAACCACCTTCTTGAATGGCTGTTATCCTGAAATAATATGACAAGAATGTCCTTTTCTCCATGGAACATTCTAATTTGTCCCCATTAGTAACAATATGGGTAGCCAGCTGCTCCTGAGGAGTCTGGAGGAAGAACTGGACAAAGCTCAGTGAAGAACATCTAAATCAGCAGCTACTCAGCTCACAGGGCAACCCTATGAGTAGGGAGCAAATCAGCAGGCTTCTCCTAAGACCACTGTACCTGAGGGCCCTGTAGCCTAGAGAACACTGTTAGGGAAAAAAAAATGTGTCCCTTATACAATGAGTAGTGTCTTAGTACATTTTGAATTGCTATAACAGAATACATAAGGCTAGGTAATTCATGTAGAAATTTACTTCTTACAGTTCTGGAGGCTGAGAAGTCCAAGGGCATGGTAATAACATTTGCTCAGCCTCTGGTGAGGGTCTTTCTCATGTGTCATGAGAGATGGCTGAGCAAATGTGTATATCAGACACCAAGAGAGGGCTACTTTTATAACAACCCACTTGTGAGATAATTTATCAATCCATAAATCCATGAGTGGATTAATCCATTCATGAGGGTGGGCCCCTTTTGACATAATCATCTCTTATATGGTCCCACTTAATACTGGTACAATGGCAGTTAAGTTTCAAAAGTTTTGGTGGAAACATTCAACCACAGCAAGCGGTAAGCGTTCATTTTGGCTTGGGAAGAACCACATTATACTTCATGCCCCACAACCTAGCTACAAGGCCTTTTGGAGGAGAAGAGCTTGCTGGAAAGTTCTCCAAAAGTCAACTGGAGTATGGACTAGTAAAGAGCCATGGTACCAGGGTAAAGGCATGTGGTGTCATGGCACCGGAAGGCATGGCGCAGTAAGAGTGGCACCTGCTAGTGTGGTACCAGGAGACGTGGCATCTGCTGGCATGGTACTAGCTGGGATGATTCCTGCTAGCAAGGCACTGACTGGCATGGTACCAGCTGGTATGGCACCAGGAGATGTTGCACAGGGAGACTTGGCACCTGCTGGTACAGCTCTGGCTGGTGTGGCACTAGCTGACACAGCTCCTCCTGTGGGCATGGCACTGGGAAATGTGGCACAGGAAGACATGGCACCTGCTAGCATGACTCTGACTGGTGTGGTACTGATTGGCATGACTCCTCCTGCTGGCATGGCTCCAGTTGGTGTAGTACTGGCTGGTGTGGCTCCTCCTGGTATGGCACCAGGAGATGTGGTTCTTCCAGGTGTGGCACTGGGAGATGTGGTACTTCCTGGCACAACACCAGTTGGCATGGCACCACCAGGAGATGTAGCACCTACTAGTGTGCACCTGCTGGCGTGGCACCAGGAGAAGTGGCACCTGTTGGTGTGACACTGGGAGGTATGGCATTTGGAAGCATGGCACCCAGAGATGTGGTACTCAGAAATGTGGCAGCCAGAGATGTGACACCTATATTCTTTCTTTTTAAAGAATTATTTAATTTTGGGGCTAGCAGGTGGTGTGGAGGTTAGGGTTGTTGGACTCCCACATGGCAGATCACAGTTTGGGTCCCAAATCTGGTGGCTTGCTTTCTCACTTTCCCTCTCTCTCTTTCTTTCTCTCTATCCCTCTCTGGTCAAATTAAAATAAATAAACAAACAAATAAATAAATAAAGTTAAATAATTTTTAAAAAGAACTATTTAATTTTATTTTATTCATCATCATTATTTTTTTAATTTGGCCAGAAAGAGATAGAGAGGAAAAGTGAGAAAGCAAGCTACCAGGTCCAGGACTTGAGCGACAGTCGACCATGTTCCCATATCCAGCACTTCAACCACCATGCCACCTGCTGGCTCCCAGCACCCATATTCTTTATAAGACATTAATTACATACAAAAATAAATGGGACTAGCAGGTGGCGTGGTGGTTAAGGTGCTGGACCCTCCCACATGGCTGGCCATGGTTTGAGTCCAGGACCTGGTGGCTTGCTTTCTCACTTTCTCTCTCTCTCTCTCTCTCTGTATGTGTGTGTGTGTGTGTGTGTGTGTGTCTGGTCAAATTAAAATAAATGAATGAATAAATAAAATTAAATTAAAAAATTTATTTTGGAGAGGTTTTAGCTATAGGGTGCATGCGCTTGCCAGAAAGACAGAAAAAGACAGAGAGGCAGAAAGCAAGAAATCACCCCCGAGGAGGGATGGCCATGCTGCAATCCCTTCTCCTCCATTCTCCTCTTGGGATCTTGGTACACGCGCACACACGCCTGGCGTGAGTTTTAGCCACCAGGTCTGGGACTCGAACCACGGTCGACTACAAGGGAATCTTGCAACATAGCCATTATGCCAACTGCTGGTCCCAAATAAAATAATTTTTTAAAAAGAGAGAGATTTTTGCTGTAGGTTGCACATGCTCACCAGAGAGACAGCAAGAGATCACCCCCTGGGTGGGGGTAGCCATGCCGCAATCCCTTCTCCATTCTCCTCTAGGGATTTAGGGCACACACACACACACACGTGCCCACTATGAGTTTTAAGCCACTGGGCCCAGGACTCGAACTGTGGTTGACTACGTGGGGGTCAGCAACATAACCATTACACCATCCACTAGTCCCGGTACCACCTTTTTTTAAAGCAATGTGGCAGATGGTATCAAAAAACAAAAACCATGTTTAATTCTCCAACCCAGTAACTGTTTGCATGGAAATGTACCTTAAAGAATGATTTCTGGCCCAGCTGCAATGGTGAATGCTGTTAAGACACTGCTGCTCTGCAGGCTGAGGCCCAAGGATTTGATTCCCAGGAGGCCTAGGTTTGATGCTGCTCTGATCTGAAAGTCTGCTGCTGCAGTGATGTGTGACTGTAGTCCCAGGCATTAGGAGGCTGAAGCAGGAGGATTGTGAACTCAAGGGTGGCCTGGGCAACACAGCGAGACCCTGTTTAAAAGAGCTGCGTGTTGTGGTACACACCTGTGGTCCTAGCCACTCAGTAGGCTGAAGCAGAAGGAAGTCGAGGCTCAGAGAAACTCTGCCTTGAAAAAAACCAGAATAATTTGTAAAAGTAATCTCTAATTACTATAAACTTAAAGATATTCACTACATCATTATTTATAAAGAATAACAGGGACCAGCAGTTAGCGTAATGGCTATGTCGCTGCACTCCTATGTAGCTGACCACAGTTCGAGTCCCGGACCCAGTGGCTTAAACTCACACTGGGAGCATGTGCGTGCATGTCCAAAATTCCGAGAGGAGAATGGAGAAGGGATTGCGGCATGGCCATCCCCCCTGGGGGGTGGTTTCTCACTTTCTATCTCTCTGTCTCTCTCTGTCTTTCTGACGAGCACATGTGCCCTATAGCAGAAACCTCTCCAAAAAAATTAAAAAAGAATAACAGACAAGAAGCCTTAAAATAAGGGAGAGGTTAAATATAGTATGGGATATGATAGGATATGAGAGTTTTTATAAATGATGTTTATAAAGAACTACTGTTCTCTGGGGACAAGTCATGCATCCTATTCACTACTGAAGTCCAAGCACTTTCTGGAACATAGAAACATGCCATTAAATATTTGTTGAATGAATGCACGAAGAACAATTTAACAAGTGAATTCAAGCAAGGGAAAATGCTTTTTATATGTTACAATTGAAAAAAGAGCTAAAAGTTGTATTTAAGCTATAATTTTCAGAACATGAAAGATTATATACATCTGTGTTCTGGATTGGATTGTAATGTTGAAAATTAAATACATGTTGGGACCAGCAGTTGGCATAATGGCTATGTCGCTGGACTCCCATGTAGTTGACCGCAGTTCGAATCCTGGATCCAGTGGCTTAAACTCACAGCAGGCGCATGTGCATATGTGCCCAGGATCCTGAGAGGAGAGTGGAAGAGAAGGGATTGTGGTGTGGACATCCCCCCTGGGGGTGATTTCTCACTTTCTGTCTCTCTGTCTCTCTGGTGAGCACATGAACCCTACAGCAAAAAAATAAAACTCTCCAAAAATAAGTAAATAAATAAATACATGTTAGGGTCTCAAATTACAGATGATGTATTGTTATTCACACAACATGTTTTTTTTTT